ACCAAGCCCTACGAGGAGAGACTAGAGAAACTGGACCTTTTCAGCCTCCGCAAGAGAAGGTTGAGAGGCGACCTTGTGGCTGCCTATAAGTTCATCACGGGGGCACAGAAGGGAATTGGTGAGTATTTATTCACCAAGGCGCCCCCGGGGGTTACAAGAAATAATGGCCACAAGCTAGCAGAGAGCAGATTTAGATTGGACATTAGGAAGAACTTCTTCACAGTTAGAGTGGCCAGGGTCTGGAACGGGCTCCCAAGGGAGGTGGTGCTCTCCCCTACCCTGGGAGTCTTCAAGAGGAGGTTAGATGAGTATCTAGCTGGGGTCATCTAGACCCAGCACTCTTTTCTGCTTGTGCAGGGGGTCGGACTCGATGATCTATTGAGGTCCCTTCCGACCCTAACATCTATGAATCTATGACCCCAGCAAGATCAAGACACTTGATGTGGATGTGAACAACGAAGTGGAAATGCTTACTAGTATCTGCTTAGAGCCCTGCTCCAAGCCTTGGAGATTCCCTTCCTCTCCCTGCTGCCGATTTCCAAAGCTGGACCACAAGCTTCTCATCCCCCGCAAGAGAGTATAATATTTATTACAGAAAAATCATTAAAAAGAGCCCTTTAAAAATTCCTTGCTGGTCGCACAGCTGCCTCGCTTTGATCACGAAACACAAAGCACTTCACCCTGACCCTCTCCTGAACTCCTGCCAATCACTGTGCTCAGGCCTCTGAAACCACCACAGACTAGACAGGACAGCCCAGTTTGCCTGGGGCTGGATTTTAAGTGGTTCCCCAACACATGCCATAAATTTAAAGGTAGTTCTTCACTCCACTCTTCTGGCATGAGGAAAATTAAACAGGCCATCTTTCCATCTACTTTAGAGTACTTATGTACATTTTAAGGCCCCAGGATCATGGCATCTCAGAACCTCTCAATCTAATACGTATTTCCCAGAATCGGTACAATCTTAAAAGGAGATAGTAGGATGAGACTGAACTGCTACTTGAGGATTCCTTCAAGGCAAAGCAAGCAGTGGGCAGGCTGATTCCTATAACAGGAAGCCCAAGGTACAACGGCCAAAGTGGCATTGACAGGGAAGGGTAGAAAGCATGTGGCCCAGACTAGAGCAGGGTAGGGCGGGGGGGCCGACCTTAAAGAGCACTGTAGACACAGTGGGAGAGTCGCCCGAATGGTAATAAGGTGTTGAATCAACATGTTCCACATGCCTGGCTGGTGCCTTAACCACTGGGCCCTACTTCATTTATACGTTGCGCTCTGCTTTCTAGCACATCACTGCCTGCTGCCAGACCATTCTGCTCTGCATTCCAGCGACCCATCTCAGCATTGGTTGGGCCCCACAGACATCTACCTGGAAGATCAAGCAATGCTTTGATGCTGCAGGAGCAGTGCCTGCAAGTCAGCAGGTGACCCTAGCATTTAGCTGCACTGACTTAGGGTAGAGTGGCAGGGGGAATTGATGCAGTGCCACCCTCCGACCTCCTCTAGTACTCAAGGCAGTTCAGCAGTGTCCATAACCCGCTCAAGTCTTTGGCCTTTCTGCCAAATGGTTGGTAACATGGGTCAGCCACGGGCGGGTTGGCAACCCTACCACAGGATTGCCCTGGAGTCTCCAGGAATTAGACATAAATCTCCAGGAGATTGCTGAGAGTCACCCGGGAAATCAAGGATAGGGTATTCATTAAAATTAATATTAAATGTTGAATCTGATTTATACAGTAGTCCAGCAGGTTTTTTAAGTGTAATAGTAATGTGCATTTGCCTTCCTAATGTAAAAAAGTCTATGCACTGTAATCCACTATGTGACGAAACCTCCTGGAATAGATTCAAACAGAGTTGGCAACTTTACGTGCTAGTGGTTCTTGCCAACAGTTCAGCTTCCAAAAGACACTGAAGACAAAGGCAAAATGACCAGGTAGCTCCCATCTACTGGCCAGCCCTTAAAAACCCACCACCAAACCCACGCACTAGGTAAAGTATTACAGAAGGTAAAAAATCATATTTTTAAATAGCTCCCAAGCAGTTACAGTGAAGTAATATCATTCTGCATGCTCCCAGCTTTCAGAAAAATCCAGCCAAAGGCCCTGTGCTGTATACTCTAACCCTCCATGTCACACTAGTTCTCGTGCGTCACAGTTGGGCCTCCAGGCTCAAATCAGAATGGCCATGGCTAGATACTATGCTTACAACATAGGCAGCCGTGCTCCAAGTAACTTGCCACAGAATTTGGTTTGGCATCGGTGCACGTGAATTCTGGTATGGATTTATTTTCTTGAAGCAATTCAGTTACATGGTCAGGCTGCTGCTCTACAGCAAAGGGGAAAGGAGGAAGAAGTTTGTTTTCCTTTCGTTTCAGTTACATTGTCCACTGGCGTTAGGAAGTTGCTAGACTTATTCATCAGGAATTGAGCCCTGTTTACATTCTCCTTTCTGACCCCTTACCAGTGGCATTCCTAAGGCTGGGTTCTTAAAATCATGGAGCCCTGGAGAGGAGACAAGATGAGATATTTAAAGGGGTCCCTCTTTGTATTGCATGAAGAAGGCCACCTAGAAGTTCCTTGACCCTTTTGGGATTTTCACCCCTACCTAACTAGCTCAAGTCAAGCACAAGTCTGCAGTGGCTGAAAGCAGCTCAAGCCTTTTGGCCACCTGTGCAAAGTAGGTTAATGGATCTCATAAGGGCTCAATGAATTCTTAAGAGCCACAGCTGACCCTTTTATTGGCAGAAAGGGCCAAGGATGGTATGGAACATGAAGTCCTAGCCGAGTAGTTCTCTCTCAGGCCAGTCTGGGACACATACTGAGGAGGAAGCTTACATTTCTATGGTCTTATCTGTTCTGGGGTCCATCAGCCAAGCACCTTCCACCAGCCCCAAACACAATTTGATTTTCAAGGGATAATCTGGGGCCAGGCAGAGATTTTCTGGCATGTTGGGGATGTACACAAACAATTTGTCTCTTGTGTGACTATAATTCTTTTCTTATTCGTAAATAAAGTGATTAATGTCCCCTGCTGTCAGGCTGGCATGGAATTTGGATGCCTCCCCATTATGAAATACGCTTCCATTTTCACAAGGCAGATCGCAATGCCCCGAGGCAAGGCTGAGGAAGGAAGAAAAAGCCATGCAGTGTGCATGTCTGAGAGCCAGGGAGATTGATGATCACTCTTTGACATGCTCCTTCCCCTCCCACTCGCTTGACATTTCTGAACCTTGGTCCCAAAGTCTGCTTTCTCCTCTCCCCCAAATGAGTCTGCAGTTTTAATTTAACAGAGGCTGCTCTGCGACAGCCACCCGATTTGTCAAGAAGCACAAGTTTGCATTTAATTTCTGCCTCACTAAGAACATGGCAGTTGCTGATAAAAGCCAGCAGCAACTAGCATGGGAAGGTAATGATGAGAGGTCTAACACTCAGCCTATAAGACACCTTCCAGCAGCTCTTGGAGCATTTTGTAAATTCTTAGGAGGATTCCCAACACCCTTGTGATAACACCATCTTGGGGCATCAGAGCAAGCCTAGGACCTTGAGTACCAAATGAATGGGCCTCAGCTACCAGAGCTGAAGGAATAAATTCAAAGCTGACACAACAACAGGCTCTTACCTTGCTAGCAAACCATTCACAAGGGAACAAAGTATTGAACCAGTTTACTTCAGAGGCCTAAACTCTGATTTACTGACAGAGAAACTGAAGTGCAGACAGGAGGGGGGAATAGAACGCAGGTCTTCAGCCTCCCAGGAGCTGCACCTTATGCCTCAAGGCCTTCCTTCCCAACACATACCTGCCATTACTGACTCTGTTAGAAATGGATTAGCATAGTCCCAGCAAGCTCAGCTACTCCTTTTCAATAGGATCCTTAGCCATGTTGGGCAAGGTCAGGCTCTCACCAAAAAGAGTAACAAAATCAGCTCAAGAGGGTGAGGAAGATACTGGGCTATTTTTTATCCTTGTTTTAAAAAAAAGGAAAACAAAAACAAAAAAACCAACCCCAGGTGGCACAGGGTAATTAAACGTCATGGTAAAGTTTGTCAAATAAATGCACTAGGCCTACAGGACAAAGGTTCATCTCTCTCTCTCCCTCCCCACCCCCAGCTGTCAGATGGAAGTTCCCAGATCTCCAACAGCAATGCCTTGGAGCTTTCAACCCACACAGTTATTCTAACAAGCAAGCAGCTATGCCATTAAAGACAGAGCTCCAGACATTTCTATCAAAGGTGAGAGCTTTTGTTCCTTGGCCCCAAAGACAGGATGACAGCAAGAGAAGGACTGAAGGCAGCTGGGCTGGGGGTAGGGGAGGGTGATAGGAAGTACAAGTTTCAGCTCAACCCCACATGCCTGCACCATCCTGGAATCACTGTACTGCTTCCAGCAAGCACAGGCCTCCAAACATCTGTCCTGGGGAGCAAGTGCTTTAGCTCAGTGTGTAGCTACCTGAAAAACTACAACCATAAAACACATTTATCTTGTCTGGGAATCTTAAACATCACATAAGCCCAAATTACCAGCTTGGGAGTTAAACAGGCAACATTCCCATTTTACAGGCATGAAGAGAGGCACAGAAAAGTCAAGCAATTTGCTGTGGCTGTATAACAAGCCAGTAGCAGAGCTGAGAACAGAGACTCAAATCTCAATTCCCAGCTTTGCCTCTTGAGAATACTGCTTCTCAGCAGCTGGAAGAAATCAAGCTGACATGCATCAATATTCTTTAATCAGAGCTAACAGGAGATTCCACACAATGTTGTCTGAAAGCAAAGGGAAAATTATTGGGTGGGAGTTTCCAAAAGCTGTCAGCATTCAACTCCCTCTGCTCTAATTAATTTCAGTGGGGACCAAGAGTTGGGCCAATACTCAGCACTTTGGCAGTCCTGGCCACAGGACACAGCTTTCATTATGTAGAGAGCCATAATGCTCACTAAGCATGCAATGGACCCAAGCATAAATAAGGAGCAGATAATCTTAAGAGGCTTCTGCTACTTCCCACTGCATACCTGTCACGGAGTGTGCTAGGGCCCAGGTAGGGGTACTGGTTGTCCTTGAGTTTTCCTTTGATGAGCTGATCCAGCGTCTCATGAAGGAGGGGCTGATGCTGAGTGTACACATTCTCAACTCCCTGCGATGCAGAGGAAAGCAGTTGTTTGTTCATTAAATTAAACCGATGCAGCAAGTTTAAAAAGCAGGTCAGAAAAGCCACCACCACAAACAAGCAGTGGTCCAGTGGGTACAATGAACAACAGCCAAGGGCCCAGATCCTTAAGTCTTTTGGGCACCTACCTCCCACAGATTTCAATAGATGCAATATTCAAATACCATGTACCTTTCCAAGCTGCCAAGTACACATACAGCTAAACTTCCAAAAGTCAGGAAATAGAGTTGCAGCACACACCAACCTGCCTTAATTTGGCTTTCTGGGGACAGCAAGAACCACAGGAATAAGCAGCCCATGGGTGCCATGGCTGCTGTGTAATAAGCAGACATTGGATAACTCAATATATGAGTTGGTGCATGTGTTATGTCCTTCAGAATCACATTTCCTTTTTCACCTGCCCCAGCTTCCACCTGGAACTGATCTATGAACAAGTGCAGGGATTACACACATCAGCTTTGCTCTTTTATTTTAACAGTGCACAGGGCGCTTCACCCCCTTCCTTGGTTATCTCTATGCGGCAGAGATCTTCATACCTTCAGTCCTTTGAGGAATTGTTTAGTGATGGACACAGCATCCTTGGGGCTGAAAAGATCACTGCCTCGGACGCGCTTCCCACCATATTCCACAACTGCAGACACCAGCTATACAGAGAGGGATGGAAGATGGAGCTCTATTAATGTGGGGAACTAGGTTCAGGACAGGTTCTGTGGCTTTAACATCGACAAAGAGGTACTGAAGTGATACCCAAGAAGCTGAAAAGGATTCCATCTAGTCTCAAATAAGGGCATAGCCTAGAGAAAGCCAAGAAATGTGCCCAAATACTCCCTGCAACTTCTAGGGAGAAGGAATTTTAGTTTAAGATCAAGTCAATCCTGGACAATTTTGCTGAAAGCCTTCTCACAATCATGCTAGTCTGGGTGGTGCCCTCTGTCCAGATCCAAGTGAATACACATTACAGGCAGAACATTGTGGCTGATAACTGAATGGGCCATGCAAACAGAATGCGTTGTAGCACTACAGGAAGGAAAAGTTAGCAAATCTAGTCCACCCATGCACACATTTTCTACAGCACCTACCAGAATGGAGCCCCAGTCCTGGAAAAATACAAACAAAAATAAGAGCTAGTTCAGGATCCCGCGTCATTTTAAGTGTTTAAAACTGAACAATTTTCTCTGGGAGGTGGGAGTGGAGCGAGAGTCTAGAAGGAAGGAGGAGGTGGGTCATCTCCTCTGCAAGGAAGCTTTCTGACAACACATTCATTTAGGCCCTCCTCTTACAGGACCCAAAAGCACTTTGCAAACAGCACCACCACTGTTTGGGGCATTTCAGAAAGCCAGAGCAAACGGTCCTTCATAAGCAACTCTTTGAATAATAAAGCCTTTATCAGCTGATAAGAGTTGCTTCTAATAGGGGAATCCAAGCAGTATCCAAAGCACTTCAGATGGACTTCAAAAGTACAGGGATTCTTCATTATTATTAGATACACACAGAGAGCCAAGTCAACAAGTTTTTAAGAGCAGGGTAGATAGACTTGTCTGGAATGTTTTAGGAAGGGATGGTCAGACTAGATGACTTCCTGAGGTGCCTTCCAGCCCTATTTATCCAAGGTCAGGCTTCCATTTTACTACATGTTAAAACAGTCCGAAACACAGATGCTTTCCCTGCTAGAGGCATCTCATTATCCAAGAAGGCAAACAGAGATGGGAGGACTAAGGCAAGACAAGCCAGTCAATGTCTGGGAACTCCCACCCTAGGACAGAGTTCCAGCTGATGGAAAGTCTCATGGCTCTGCTAAAGCCACTGGAGCCAGGACACTTTACAACAGCTAAAGATCTGCCACCCTTATATCTTCTCAGCCCAGTCATTCCAGTATCTACCCAGAACAGAGCCAGCAATTACTTACCTTCCGATACTTCTCTGAAACTCCTTTGTTCTTGAGGTCCATCATCAGCCCAGGCAGGCTGTTGCTGCTGTGGCGCTCATAGTGCAGAGCGTAAAGCATCACCAGGCGGGCGGCATCAAACTCCGTCACCTTCGGATTCTGCAGGAGCCGCCGCATGTTCTGAGACATGAAGGTAAGCAAGAGTATAAAAAGGGGAGGGGAAACCCAATGCATTAAGCCTGTGCCTTGAGAGCAACTGTGCAAATCATGCATCTACCCAGCTGCTTGGCAACAGCCACACGCATGAAGAAGGCAAAGCAGTCTCAGATTTGATAGGAGAGAACAGGTACCGGAAACCTGCCAAGGAAGGAATGAAATGAAGGGCCAAGATTAGGTATTGCATGAAGACGACAAACATATAAGCATCATATTTCCAACAAACAAATCTATTGCTTTAGCTGCTAGCAGGGATGTGTTGCCTGCCTATTAAGACGTGGTTCACTTCATACTGCCCAGGGGTTTTAGAGGAGCGGTTGTATTCTGCCCAAGGTGGCATACAGCCAGGATCTACCCCACATTTCATTTCTACCCCTTCATGCAGCAAGAAGTGGTGCAGCTTCTCAACACCCCACAGTCCCCCTCAGACATGGTGCAATGCCAGACTGTCAGTCAAGATAAGGACCAAACAAAGCAGATACCAATGCTTAGTTGAGCAGTGGAAATAATAAACTGCTTAAGTCTGTCCTTTGTAATGGATGTCAGAGAACCACCATCTACAACAGACTAAGCCTGCAGATGTTTGGCCAAGGACAGGCAGATGCTTTAAGATCCACCTCATAGTAAAACCTGCAATCCTTCCTGTGTGATAGATTAAAGAGCAGAGTCAGCTTGGATTACTTCAAAAGCATACAGATGAAGGGGGCACATGATGCAGGGCAGAAAATATATCAATACCAAGTAAAGGGCAGGACCAACTCAGGTAGGATAATTTCTCTGGACACAATTAAATCAGGTTTGCCATAACTGGGCTAAATAACAAGCTCTGGTTACAACAGAAATAGAGGGCAAATTCCTGGAGAAGGATTTGCCATTGACTCCCTTCCATTCCACCCACAGAACGGGTTCTTACAAGGATATCTGCTTGCAGGATTTCCAGTCCTTGGCTGGGAACACGGTGGCCATAGCTGTGTAAGCAGGAAGCAGAAGGAACAGAAAAGCTATTGTCCATCCAAGAAGATGGGATTCAAAACCTTCCATTCATCACTCAAGACTCATGTACATTGTCAGAATTAATAAGAGATCAGGAAAGGAATAACCAAAAAAAAAAAAAAAGAACTGTACTCAGTGGCCCAAGGCCACAAGAGAAATTAACAATTGCTGAAATTACATCAGCGGGAGAACAATCCCCCCTTTATTTGATGCCCTGGGTTATTCTTCATTGTTTCCATGACCCTTCCCCTACACAGCCATTAGGAGGTTGCAACAGAGAACACCCTTGGCCAGTGCACCCAGATAGACCAATTGCAGGCCTTTCCCCCCACTTAAAGAGACAGCAGTCCCATATAGTTTGCAATTCTGTTTTCTGGCTGATCCAGAAAAAATTCCAAATCGGTTCCTATTTGTTGGCTCTCCCATAATCCCTTTCAGGGACCTGATAGTCTCGAGAGGTCCCTTCCAGCCCCTAACATCTATGAATGTGACTGCAGCAAAGTCCTAGAGGGTTGTGTCTATGGAAGCTGTGCCTGTGTTCAGGATGTCTGCTGTATGCTCCATGTAGCTTACTGATTTTAAATATTACTTGGGTATTTTTTTCAGCTAGTTAGGTACTGGTACCAGTTTAACCAGGGCAGCACAGAGCTCAGAGTCAAAAGGGCAAGAGTCTCTTCTACCCCCTCCTCACCACTGACTGCATCACCAGCTGAGACTTTCTTTGCACTAGAGCTTGCTGTAT